CAAGTCCTTCATCTCTGTCCCCTGGGGTGGCAGTCGAGGAGTTGGATTACTTTGGAAATTCATTTTATAAACAGAATGTAAATGGCCATTACAACACAGGCAATTGCCACAGCAGCATGCAGCCTGGTTCCGATCACTGCAGCTTTGTAAAACACACCCCAAACGCCCTTCTTCTCTGATAGCAGCCAGGTTTCGAGACGAGGTACTTTCTTGAAATAGGTACAGGTGCAAACAAAGAGCAAACCAAATACCAGAATCCCATCCAAGGAGTACATGTTCGTCATGGCGGCTGGCCTGGACCTGGGCAAGGAGGTCCGGGCTCAGCAGTACTGGCAGCGAAGGTAGGGGAACCCGGCTACCGCTTGACACTTCCCGGTCCGGGCCGCGATGACGGCCACTTACTTACTTTTAAAGGCCAATACCTCTACTTTCTAGCTGTGTGGCCTTGGGCAAGTCACTTCTTGTGTGAATGTCCTATAGCTGCTGTAACAAATGACCACATACTTGGTGATTTAACACAACAGAAATTTGTTCTTGTACAGTTCTGGAGGCCAGAAGTCCAAAATCAGTATCACTGGGGAAAATCAAGGTGTCACCTAGACTGTACCATTTCAGAAGGCTCAAAGAGAATCCATTGCTTGGCCTCGGTCAGCTTCTGGTGGCTCCGGGCACTCCTTGGCTTGTGACTGCATCACACCAGTCTCAGCCTCTGTCTTCACATGACCTGTGTGTGTGGGAATCTCCCCTCTGTGTCTCATCTGTAAAATAAGTACAGTAGCACTGGTAGCTCCCTCTCAGGACTGAAATGAGGTTTCCACAGGCTAATGTTAATCGGGCAGTTTGTACCCTGGCGGCCAGGCAACGCTCAATGAATGGTGTGGTTACTATGGGTCCATTTATTGAGTTATTTCTCCCCAGGACTGGCAATTGTGGGGTAATTGATTCCAGTGATGCCACCTTCTCAACTGCCAGATTTTCGGCAGGATTAAGTGTGCCAAATGGGCTTTGTTGAGCCAACTCTTCTGGGTGTTGAAAGCCACCATGCCAACCCCGCCTTGCTGCTTCACGGTCCTGTCTGCCACTTCTCCCTAATTAACACAAATGCACACCCGCCAGCAGGCCCATGTGCCGCCATCTCAGAAAACAGCGGAGCAGGCTGCAGCCAAATATTTTTTTCCCCAGTTACTGGACAGAAAGTATTTTGGTCATTTAAACAGCACAGAGCATATCTGGGCATGGTGGTTCGTGCCTGTAATCCCAGCAATTTGTGAGGCCAAGGCAGGAGGATTGCCTGAGCCTGGGAGTTCAAGACCAACCTGGGCAACGCAGCAAGACCTCGTCTCTTCGAAAAGTCAAAAAAGTATCTGGGCATGGTGGCGCACATTTGTAGTCGCAGCTATACAGGAGGCTGAGGTGGAAGGGTCACCTGAGCCCAGGAAGTAGAGGCTGTAGTGAGCCGTGATCATGCCACTGCACTCCAGCCTGGGGAACAGAGTGAGACCTCAACTCCAAAGAAACAAATGAGAACGGCACAGAGTAGAGAAGAGGGAGGAAATGCCACCTCATCCCATAGGAGCAACCTCAGGGGCTGGAAGGGCCCAGCCTTTGGAGACTTACATAGAAAAAATGTTCTGAGGAAACTTTACCATGTCAATGTCCCAAGACAGGGTCATATCAGACCACCATTGTCATCACATGGGAGAAATAAAAAAATGAAGAACATTGGCCTTTTTCATTCCATTCAGCTCCACAGTCACTACCAGCCCTTCTCCCTTAGACTTGGCTTTGCCAGGCAATGGGGGGGGGGGTCAAAGATGGCACTCCCTTGAGGCGCTCACATATCACTGTATTGTCAATAGAAGTGGATCAGAGCATCCAGAAATGAGGACAAGAGGGATTCCGGAGTCAGACAGACTCGGGATCAACCTCTTGCTCTGCTATTTTGACCTGCATGACTTTAGGCAAAAGGAATCTCTTTGAGCCTCCATTTCCTCATCTGTAAAATGGAGATCCTAACAGAACTTCCTTCAAAGTGCCAAGGCGGACATTCAAGGAGGCTAGCAGCCTTAGGACTCCACTGGGACACGGGTTGGCACTAGGCGTTAGTCACATGAGGATGCTGAAGATGAGGACGTTTCACTAGAGCAGCTCCGAGTGGAAGCAGAGAATCCAGGGAGGTGGGCAGCATCCAGACCAAGCCATTGGGGATCTGGTCCTCATTCATTCGTTGATTTGTCTCCTGTTTCCTGATTTGGGCCTCAGTTTCTCCATCTGTTAAGTGAATGGACCCTGGCAGAGTGAATTCTGAGGACACTTTCTTCTACCTTCCAATTCCAGTGGTGGTCTTGGGTGTCGTGTCCCTCATCCCTGTTACCCCTGGCAACTGGCCTTTCCCGAGGTCCCTAATCTGGCCAGTAATCTGGTGCCTTGTTGTTCTGCTAAGGGTGAAGTGGAGAGCCCACGGGACAGGGGCGAAGCTTTTCTCAGGGAAAGAAGGTTCTTGGGACTCAGTAGAGGAGCCTAGCAACACCCCGGGGTTTGTCAACAGAGATAGCATTCATTTTAAGGAACCAGCTCCTTGTCCAGGCTTTGTGACAAACCTCTCCAGCAGAGGCTTGGCCCTCCAGCCATTCCCCTGCACCCCCTCTAGGAGGGTACTTAGAATAGTGCCCTGCTGGCCATAGTTTCATTCATTCATTCACTAAATATGCATTAAATATCCAATGTGTATTGGTCAGGACAGCAGGGGCTGGGACACACAGCAGGAGATGAGCCAGCAAAGTCTCTGCTTTCCTGGAGTTTATGGACTAGTGGGGAGGTGTTAGTTTTTTAAAATATTGACTTAATGCTGCAATGGAAGAAAAATACAGTGTGTTCTGAGACCAAGTTACCTGGCCTAGTCAGAGAGCATCAGGGAGGGCTTTTCAGAGGAAGGGACATTTACGCTGGGACTTGAAGTTTGAGTAGGAGTGAGCAGAGGCTGAGGGCCCTCCAAGCACAAGGAATAGCATGGCAGAAATGGTGGTGGTGAGAGTTAAGGGAAAAGCCAGTATGATGGGTAAGGTTGGTAGGGCACCAGACCGGGCTGGGCCCAGTGGTTCATTCATGGTATAGGCTTCATGCTGAGGAAAATAGGGAGCCTTGGGAGGTTTAAAGGTGAGCAGAAGATGGAGCTGCATTAATATCATCCACCGAACTTAGGAAGTAAGGCTGTCTGTCATCCAGGGATGGCCAGTGGGTGCCTGAGTGCAGGAAGGTCATATGTCCATTTTGGCGGACAAAGGAAGGGATCCAGCGTGGGCCTTGGGATGGAGACCCTGATTTACTATAAAGGCTGTGAGCGAACTCCACCCACTCTAAGCCTCAGTTTCCCCACCAAAAGTGGGGTTACGATAACTCCTACCAAGTAGGTGTCAGCTGAGCCGCCTCTTTGTGGCTTCAGTTTCCGCCTCTACATGCTGAAGCTCCCAGCTGCTTTCCTGGTAATGCTGGCTGCGCCACTTGCCTCATGTGGGCATGCCCTCTCTGTCCCTGGGCTTCGGCTCCCCTTCTGTAGAGCAGGGCAAGCTCCCCAAGCTGGGTCAGGTGAGTCTCACACCACAGTGAGCACCAGATTCAACAGGAAACTTGCACCAAGGGCTGCTCTTGGGCCCCAATCCCCACAGAAAACTCCAGTTCTGGGGAGGAAACTATCGCATCAGTTCCTGTGGTGGGTTTCCTCAGATTTGGCCTTGAGATCTCTCCAGTGGCTATAAGCTTTAGCCCTGTCCTAAGGGGGCTCCAGGGGAGTGGCTGCGGCTGTTGACAGGGTGCCCTTTGCAGGATATTTCTTTATCCTGGTGGACACGGTCTAATGCCTCGGTGTCTGGCCCACAGCCAAATGTCCCACTTGCAGGAAACGTGTTTATATGGGCAGATGCCCGTGAGGCTCTTGTCTGATCTGTATCCAGTTTGTTCCTCCCAAGAGAGCCACTCTCTGGGAGAGTCCTGACAGGGAGAAGAGTTAGGTTCAGATACATTAGCGGGCAAGGCACAGAGGCAGCAACTCAACAAAACACATAACAGAAGTAGTTTACCACTCACAGATCCAAGAGAAGCAGGCAGCACACTTGGCAGGGCCAGTGGAGAGGGGAAGATATCCTGAACATGTGTGCTCAACCGACGGGTGGGGAGCAAGAGAGAGAGAGGGAGGGAGGGACCCATGTGCCAAAGCTTTTACCAGGGTCTAGGGCATCCCCCAGGTAGGTTTCTCACTGGGAGTTCTAACTGGTGGGTTTAGAGCAAGTGGGCATGAGTTTAGGAGGACTGTGACCGAGAGGGGGTCAACACCACATTTCTGTGCCATCCAAATGGGGCGTGAGGGGTCAGTGGGGCAAGTCGAATATGTTTTATATATATATATATATATATAGCTGTCCCGCAGGGAGGTGGTCACCAGGAGGCAGTTGTATAAGGTGGATATCTGAGTTGACCACCTGAGGAACTGGGAGGAGGTGGAGAACTGGAAACTGTAGAGAGTGACTGTACTCTCTTTGCCCTGCTTCTCTTATGAAAAAGTCTGACATATTCACAATAGGTGTCCAGACAGCATAAAATTATAAGCACTCACTACAGTTCCCTAGCTGATGTAACGATATGGTTCAAGAATTGCACTTTGGACTGGATGTGGTGGCTCTGTGGCAGGATGTGGCAAATGCTCAGATATATTTCTTGTATGATTGAGTGAATAAACACAGAAACACATGTAGCTAGTTGGGAATCAGCAGTTGGCCTCATGGCAATCACCTGGAATAACTCCCAGCGGCAGGAGGAGGATTTGCTAGCAGTTAAAGGTATTTCCTTTTGAAAGGCAAGTTGCAACTTTAAAGACCCGCCAGGCGCAGGGCAGGTTTTAAGAAGGGCTAAATGGCCGGGCTCGGTGGCTCAACCTGTAATCCCGTGCCTTTGGGAGGCTGAGGTGAGTGGATTGCCTGAGCTCACGGGTTCG